AGAGGAAAGATCTCCTTGTGTCTCTTGCAAGGGAAGATAAGGAGTGAAGGTGAGGTAAAAAAAGACTTGGTCAAGTTTGGCAGTGAGGACTCTAAAACTATACCATCACATGGCTCTATGGGAAGGGAAGTAAACCAATTACTGTTATTTTCTGGACCTTTTTCCAGCTTCCTGCTTTCTGCCCTTCAGGGGAATGCAATGAAAACTATCTTTCCTCCTTGTGACTCATGAACTCCTAGTGCCTACTCTTTGAGCAGCTGAGATAAAAGGATGTGTAGGCATCACCCTTTCCCAGGCAAAACAGACATTGAGAAGGGAGAAGGAGTACTTGGGGCTGGAGAAAGAAGATTAAAATAGCACAGATCACAGGTATTTACATTCCTGGTGGAAATATTATCCAGACAGCTAAATAGTATCCTAACCTTTGTCTGTTTGCCCCTATTCCTATTGGTTAATTAAGGAAAGCTGCCAGCATGATATTTATGCAATAGCTGCTGGCTCAAAAAACAAGGCAGATTATTGTGAAAATAAACAAGAAAGAAAATACATAGGCATGAGCAGCATCATTTTTCACATTCTGCTTTTTGCTTATACCTGTTTGGTATTTGTGGCAGCTAGGTAATTTTGCAGAACTTAACTGGATTTGCAGAGCTGCAGTATTTAAAAGCAGGCTTTGTTTTTGCTTCGGACATGGTGACAAAATTTAAAATGTTCTTTGGTACTATGGCTTTTGACATCAATGTAATTAACAGCTATTGCATTTTACAAAGTTACGCAGAATCTCACAGTTTTTATAATGCTGGTAGCTGGTTACACATCCTCTGTTCAGGAAGTGGTCTGAGCTGTTGTATCACCTGAGCTATCAGGTGACTGTTTAATAAGCATAATAATGCCGTAGCAATGTCACTGACTGAAGAGTTATCACATGAAAATAAACTGTTTCAAGATACAGCTAAAAAGAGCCGGGCACCGGTGCCGCAGAAACATCATCTTTGTACCTGAAGGTGGCACTAAAACCACAGGGAAGAGACCCATCACGTTGCTTCTATAGGGCCAGATTTTTAAGAGGAAGTGCAAGCACACCTAGCAAGTCTTGCCTGCCGACTGTGAAATACATATTTCTTACAAGTGTCACGGATTAGAAAAGACAGCTGAATGATATTCGAGTATTCCCTAAAGAATGCAACAATCAGTCATATCATTGTATCATTCTTATTTTCCTCCCCTGACAAATCCTGGGTGAGTGAGCAACTCCAGGTTTTTGGCAGTTTTAGCTTCTTCATGAATATATTGCTTGTATTTATTTGTCCTTTTTTTTCCAGTTTTGTTGAATAACTTGCATAAGCAAAAGTGATTATCAGTCACCAATAAGTAAAATGTTCCTATATTTGCTATTCACAGCTATTGTCATATGAGGCACACAGAGTTACTCAACAATGTTATGTAGAAAATCAAATTATCCTCCCACTGCCTGTTAAAAAAACAAACAAACAAACAAACAAACCAGATATTTACTGGAAATACCGTGATATTCAGAAAGGTTAAATTTGGCACAGAAAAAAACCTAGCAAAATCAAAAAGAACTTATAACACCATTGACGTGTGAACAGTCAGTACAAATATAAATGTTTTAACAACTTACTATCAATCTGAACAACCTATTTTTTCCACACGATGTACATAAATCATACTGTATTATCTCTGTTCTGGTTATGTAACCTAGATGCATGGAAATTAGATTAACTTTTCTTGAAACTGTATCATTTTTCTAAATCAGTTTTTCTTGTTTGAAATCTGCTTTTCCTTAAAAAATATTTTTTTCCTGATGTGGCAGACAAAATCTATGGAAATGGGTTTTCCTCAGACCTTAGCATAGACCACTGACCATCTATCTATACATTCTTATTAATAATGATATTAATTGCAGGATACTTTCAGTGTTTAAAGTATCATTTAGTTAGTACTAGACTGTTTGTTGTTCATGATGAAGTAAATGAAAATATTTATGAAATCCTTTTTAGTGCAGCTTATGCCACAAATGGTTTTATTCACCTGAGAACATTTTTACAGGATTAGCCCCACAATGAGCCTTACTAAAAGTACGCAAAGTGCTTACAACTTCCAGAACAGCCCTTGAGCCCAAAATTCTCCCAGTTGTAAGCCAACAACTGAGAAGCTTCCTAAAAATACATGTTGTACCATGTTGGCACATCTTTCACACAGCAGCGGCTGGCTACTGGGAGATGCGAGTTTCCCGCTCTAGCAGTGATTCATGCACTTCAGTGTTTGCACAAAGAACTGGCACACTCACTCTGTAAAACAGAAGAAAATCTCCACAGTCCCTGTGCACTAAGTCAATGGTCTTTCTAAAACTTCTGCTACCAAGAATGTAACCAAGTTAAGCCAACATGATTCAATGGTAAGCAGTACTGCAGCTGTAGAGAAACATGACCAAGAATGCTGTTTAACGATATACAGGGCTCCTGCAGTCCAGCAGCTAGAGAAAACTGTCACTCAGGAAGGTGGTTTTTACCCTTGTCTCCTCTTAAAGATTGTTAAACAATTAGTAGCTTGGAGTTTGCTAACTATTCAAAGGCAGTTTTAACATACAGATATTTCCAACCAACAGTCTTCCCAGAGCTTTTAATACTCAGATGTTTACTATGCCAAAAAGCCTAATAAGTACAAAGATAATGTGTTTTTTACTTATCCATTTGAATCGGTAAGCGCCATAAGCACTTCTGTAGCATCCATCATAACGGTACTTCTGCATGTTATGTTAATTAGCCCTTGTATTCAATATCATTTACAAGCAATACATGGAGTGAAAACCAGGACAACATTCCTTACAACATATTATTCACTATTATTTATTGTACAGGGAATAGATCTTCCATGTGGAATTGAGAAGAACAAGGGTATATGCCCAGATCATCAAAGAGGCCAAGCATCTACGCAGCATACCGATTTCGAAGAATGGTAGTCATGTTGATCCCTAATTTCTGAATTTTCTACCTACACTGATTTTTTTTTTTCCCCTTCTGATTATTATCATGCAAATCTCACAGACAAGATGGTACCACATAAGTACCTGATTTGCAACTGAAAAGAAAAATAAAATGGCATTTGATCTTCTCAGATGAAAAAGCACTTTTTGAAATGGTACCTGAAGATGCCGCTGGACATTACTGAAATTTGATAGGCATCCATATGTCTTAACTCCCCTTATTGTTCTTTGGAGTAAATGCACAATGGCTTTAACAATAGTGGTAGACGACTAGGTATTTCTGTAAAACCTGGCCCTAAGAAAACAGAAAAAGTTTATATTTCTTCCTTTACTATTCTCCAATTCCGGTCTTTCAGCAGGCAAGCATCCCATTAGTTTCCTGTACTTGAATTTTTAAAAATAATTGATTGCTAATTAAAAGCCAACTTAAAACTAAGAATCTTTAAGCAGTACATTCCTTAGGGATGCACAATTCACTGTGCAAGTCACAGTAGCTGGAATGATGAAAAGCATTTAAGATGCTGGAACTCACTCTTGACCTGTTGAAAGGCCACAGGATAGCAAAACAGTATCTTCCTGCTTGCTACTCTATTTCATGGCTAGGAATAACATACAGAAGGTCTCCTATTCATGGATCATATGGCACTCACATACCTTCACCATGTGCCAATCTATATAAAGATAGCCACAATACAGCAGTCATGTGCTGCTCTGAGTTTCAAAGTCAGGGGATTTTTTGTTTCCACCTGAAAACTACATTCGGCACCACAGCAAGCAGAAACTATTATCAGTTTGTCCAAAACAAACTTCTGAGGCTGACAGGCACAGCACCTATCACCTGCAGGTCATAGGACAAAAATTAAATGAAGCGATCACACATTGTTGACTCAGTTAAACAGCACAGAGTCCACAGAAATTATAGACAAGATAAACTTAAATCATAAAGGAGGTAGACGTGGTCTTGGACATCAAGACAAACAAAAAATCTCAACAGAGCTTAACTGTTATGTTGAAAAACTTTAAGAGTAGAAGATAACAGAGCTAAGTCATTCCTGATTTCTCCATTCTAGGTAACACAGTAGAGTCAGGGATGTGTTTAACCCATGTGTTTCAGTCTTGATCTTACACATAAAAGCAAGCACTGCAATGATTTATACAGTCCTCTTAACAACAGAGTTAACAGGGTGTAGGTGAGAACAGGATGTGACCTCTGTGAACTGCAAGAGTGTAAGAGCATAAAATTTATCAGAAACGCAACTTCCAAATTCCACCAAAACAAACTTAGGTCTTCTTCAACTTTCTCCTTCCCTCAGGGGCCAGTGTGAAACACTTTGGAGGTGGGAATAGGACAGCTGAGAGGCATGACAGGAGATAGACACTTCCTGATGCCCCTGCTTATGGCTAGTATAATTTCTATAGGTTTTGCAGTGATTATGATAGTTAAGAAATATATTTTCAAAAAAAAGTCCATGCACTTGTTATCTAAATAAATTTCTGATCTTCCTTTGGAAAAGAGTTTCATAGTTTCATTGCATGATATGGGTATAAGTATTTCCTTGTATCAGTTTTATTTTCTTCTTTTCAGTTTACCTGAACACCAACTTATTTTCACCCCTTTTTGTATTACAAGATGAAAAAAACTGCATGGATTTAATTTCTTTATCTCAAATTTATATTGCTAACAGTCAATTTCCCATGTTTGAAATTCTCTCTATTCATAATGCACCTTAGATATAAATATATGGCTTCATTAATAATGTACTGTTATGGAACAACAAACAAACAAAAAATCACCTCTCCAGAGCAAATTAATTTTATAGGTCTATGGAAAGAAAGCTCTAATAAGTTTTCTCTGTAAACCCCAACAGACATGAAAAATTTTGAAAGTGTCTTAGTCCAACTAATTTGTTCTGAAAGTATTTGCAAGCCAATTCAAAAAGTCAGACATAATTTTGTGTGCATGGATACTAGAAAGGAAAGTCCTGTGACTTACCTGCACAGCCCAGAGGTAGTCCAGACGCAGCTTCAAGTCCACCTGTCTGGAATGCAGTGCCAAAGCACAAGAAAATAGCAAAATGGCTAGTATTGGTTCATAGCCATGCATATAAAAGGAGCCACCCCTTAAAAATGAAAGGAAAGTAAATGGGTTATTCCAGGTTTTCTAATAACTAACACTGCATATTTTTAATATCAGATCTTTAGTTTAGAACATGTGGGTACCCGCTAATCACTAGCCTTTTCTAAGGAGGCTCATATGGGTGGGGAGATGGGTGACAGTAAATCTGATCGCTGCATCACACTAACATTCAACTTCCTGAGGATTTTATAATGCTATACATTATTGTAATGTGTATGCATGCTTTTAATTAGGAAATATAAAAACTCTCAAAAAGCTTAAATGAAATTGGAATTGGCTGAGGGCTGCTGAAATATGGAAGTGAAGTTAACAGTGTTTTTCTATTTCATATTATAATTAGGCGCAGTGTGCTCAGCTGAGGTATGTTAGCATAAAACTACAGAATAATGGGGCAACACTTGCTAGTTCCAAAAAGCTGATCTCCTGTTGATGGGTATTACTAGAATCCTACAATTGCTGGGGAGAGGATGGCTTAAGTATTTCTTATGCTCTACTAAGTATATAGCCATAAGCAGCACTGAATGCTAGAGGACAATTCACATACGAGTAGTCAGTCATGACTATACAGAAATACCCATTGCTTTAACTTTGCAAGGTACCTACCCCACTGCTTTTCTGTAACCGCTGAGTTCCAGAATAACTATGTACAAAATTGTAACAAAAAGCAGGAGAATCATTTTTGGCAAGGAAGATACACGTAGAAATATTGCCAAGGTGAGAGTCCCCACTACACAGGAAAGGAAAGCATAGTGTGCTGTGTCACATGGAAGTTCATTCATTGTTTTATTTGTTCCACCAGGAGAAATGATAACTATTGAACTGCTGGAATTGGTATTCCAAACCCAAGGCATACAGCCAACCTACAAAAGACAGGAGAGGCGAGAAGGGGAGAAAGTTAACTATGAAATAAACAGAAATGCAGCTGCTGTGGGGGCTGACTGTAGTGCGTTTCTAATTGAGAAAATATGGCCATGGAATTCCCATCCAGCTCACTGCTCTAATAAAATCTCTCTCCTTTTCCTGTAGCGCTTTACTCAGTTTTAGGTGGGAGACACTCTTTGTTCATTAGATGCCAGTAAAGCCAACCAATTAAAGTCTGGGCTTATTTGAATAGTTTCCCTCTCAGTGCTCAAAGCCAAGAGATTCTCAAGCCAACATATTCCTGCAAAATTAAGGAACTTCAGTAAACATTTTATGTGGCCATGCAGGTGAGAAAGGTTCTTGCACAGAGCACAGAAAGAAATGTGTTTGTTTTAATGACTATGTAAATTGTATCAATTGCAATTAATCAAATATAAAATAAAACCTATTTTAATCTTTGATTGAAAAGCTAAACATGAATAATATCTTTTCTCCACTGCAGAGCTACTTCTGCTATCACATATGATTCAAATACAAGGCCTCATCTTTAACTATCCCTGCCGTTTCAGTTATGCAAGGAGTTTCATTTCCTCCCTAGACTAGGAAATAAAAAAATGTTTTAGTGCATTTCCTATGCAAAATTTGAGGAAATTTAACCTGCTTCTTCCAAAGGCAATGTCATGTACACATCTCAGAGCTGTTACCTAAGGAAGGGAGGAATTTCTGGCAAATAGTGCAAGTCCCTAGAGCTCCAGTTTTAATTGCACTCCAATGTTCACCCCTTATGAAGGGAGAGTACAAGAGTTAGCATAAAAGGGGAGAGTGGGATGGCAGTGTGAAATTGATTTTAAGAGGCACCACCACATAAGCCCTGCCCTATACTTAAGCTTCTCTTTTGAAGTGTGTTATTAGACCTTTTTATTTAATCCTAACCACTGATAATGAAATTTTATAGCATGCTGTAAAATAACTGACAACCTGAAAGGTTATTAAGCAATATATTTTACAGGTGGTTGTAGTAATTTAAAAAGATGAGGCATAACAGATAAAATGTGAGTTAAACTCATAATGGCTAACATTATGAAATAAGATGAGAAAGAGTGAAGTAAAAAATCTGTTGAATGTGATTTTGTTCCATATCCTTAAAAATGCTGTTCAACTAAACTCATTCGAAAACATAGGCATGCAGGAGGGCTTCATAAATGATGTGCAATCCATCCAGGAAAACACCATCTGCTAAGAGTAAAACCTCAACACCTAGCTCCTCTGCTAGCTGAGAATTCTAGAGGCATTACTTTGCAGGAATGAATAATTTCTACTGATTAAACATTTCTCCTAAGCATTTCAATGGTTGCAGGCTATTTTTGCTTCAGTAAAGGATAAAGTTATATTTGTGACCTATTCTAAGTTGTAACTGAATGATCACTGCCTTGTTGGAGGCCAGAACATCTGAATTCTAATCTGCTTTCTTCCACCGATGTTCAACGTTGCCTTAGGCCTTATGATGTCTGTTTCTCATTTTCACCGTCTTTAAGTGGCAACAATGGTGCTTGTTTCATTTGATCAAAGTAAGAGTCAACCATAAAGGTTCCAGCTGTCATAATATTAATCTCAATCCCAAAGTCAGATACACAGAACTTGCTGAGATGCTAGCTAGCCTGGAGGCACTGCACATCTGTATGCATCTTAGGCTTATATGCACATTAAGAACCACATATATGTCTGTTGTGTGTTAGGGCTGTGTGTTACTCACACAGCTGATGTTCAGGAATTCCCAGAAATGTCTGAACAACAGTAATTCTTCATATGTCTCAGGACATTGGAATTTGCAGACAAGGGATCCTCTGCCCATTCAGTTCATGGGGATCAGCTTGGTAGATGTTCTCAGGGCAGGTCCAGGGACGAGTGAATACACAAAATACAAAATAAGGGGCTTGGCATCTCAGCACTGTGAATTGCTCATGAAATCACTGTCTTCCTATTGGTCAGAACACATTGCCCAAATCCCGCAGAGAGACATGATTTGAGACATCTGCCTTCTCAGCATTTCCAATTGTGTTTAGTGTGCTATTTTTGTGTGGATTCTTTCCTTTGGGTACCCTAACATGTTTAATTCATTAGCATTAGCAGCCAAAATTCTGAAATTGAGTGCTAGGAATTTGACAAGGCAACTAAATGCCAAATACTTAGGTGGAAATGTAAATCCCATTTGACATTCAAGTCCATCATGCAGAACTAGCTGCTAATCTACAGTAAAAGAAGCTCAATTTTCACAAGTATTGAGCAAGTTCACTTCATACAAGAGAAGCTTCCTAGACATTAGATGTGAATGGATCATGTAAGTAGCATGGTGTAAACACCTCTTCTCGTTACGCAATACTGTCCATATTTTAAGATCTCGTTATCCTTTCTGATCTGCCTGGACTAAAAATATCCCCCTGTTATTACACAGAAATATGTTCTGTAAGTTGCCACATAGAAATAAGTAATGTTGTTTGATACCATGCCTTGTCTGTCACAAAATATTAGCCATTGAACTTGTAAGCAAATTGAACATTTAAAAATAGTTTTCCCATAAAGTACAGGTCATCAGCAGACTATGTGATACTAAGGTTTGCTATAAAAATTTCCATAGGTGTTGACTAGGTATTATCTGTATAATTTGCTAATAGCTTTCCCATTCCTAATTCAACATCCTGACTCAGGGCAGTGAAAGTTCAAATTATAGCAAAGGGCTTTAATTTTGAAGAAACATGTTCTGCACGTATGAATAAAGAAAAGAGTAGGAATTCACCAGACGAGAATATGGTATGTGTTTAATGGATCCATACCAGGTTGTTCTTTAAACAGAATGCTAAATTAAGCAATACTTGATTTAAATACTCACCACACATCCTTGAGCCACAGAGTATACTAAGATCACAATAAAAATACACAAAATGGTACGAATTTGTATTGTCAGGCACCCTGGAAAACACTAAGGAAGAAAAAAAAAGATTTATAGATAAAGATTTTATAATATTTTTTAAAATGGGGTTGTTATTTTTTTAGTCTATAAAAAGAAGTGAATAAGGATATGGAAATTTTGCCTGCACTGCAAATTATGAAACAAGCATGCAGTTATTCTTGTGTACATGTGTTTTAATGGTAATTGCATTTTTGGGGGTAACAAATGTGAAACTATTATTACTATACATTATTTCTCATAATAATTAAAACTCTTTGAAAGGTTAGTAGGATGTCTGCTCATAATGCAAATAATAAATTAGGATGGCATTTGATTTTGTTCCCATGGGGAAAATACCCAAAGCATCTTTTGCCTTGCAAATTATCAGCTACAAATAGTGATCCAAGAGAACATACTGTGGTAGCATAGAATTTTGGAGTGGTATTTCTGTCTTCTGCTGTAGTAGTCACATTAAATGCCAGGGTAGTTTTAATTATCAGGACTCATTAAAAATATTGAATTTGTCAGAGCAGAAAGAGCAGTGGAGAACAAAAATGTCTGGTGGAATGGAGTCTTGTGAATCTCTTGCTCATCTCCATTTTTACCCTGATTCCATCACTGTGAAGTGCTTGCTGCTGTGAGCATATATGAAGCCAGTGACATAAGGTGAGAGAGGAAGGATAAGTCTGTCAAGCTCTAGTACTTGTTCCAGTCATAATGATCTGCTCTGTTTTCAGGGAAAGCTGCTTTCCTTCTTTTCCCCTTGCATTAAGAATGTTTGGGGCATCTATTATCTACTGGATCCACGATGCGTCTTTCAGACCACGGGACTTCTTCCAGTGACTTCAAGGGGCAAGAATTAACTCCAGGAAACAATCAGATTTAAAGGGGGAACAATCCTGTGTCCCTTAAATGGAGGGGGCCCAGACTTATCAAGGTTGGATTTGACTTAAGATCAAATGGAGCAAGCAAACACTAATTTTTGGATGAAAGTCACCAGTCCTGAAGAAAAGCTGTTCACTTCACAGGTATCATCAACACCAAAAGCATAGCTTCCAGCAGGCAGCAAAGTACCCATAGAGAGGGGATTCTGTGGCCTTGGCACAATAGAAATCATGTATTGAAACTCCTCCCCTTCCTTTCACATATGCAGAGACATTTCCCCTGTTTGTGTGACCATGAATTAGAAGTTTGAGATCATTATAGATGAATCAACTTCATCTGGGCTGTGAAACACGAGAATACAGCAACTACAGAAAAAAAAAAAGTGTGATCTGCAAATACATTCTGGCTTCAGTATGGATTAAGTCCATTTAAATGTAGGCTGGGAACAACCAACATAATATCAATAGTAGATTTACAGAAGCATATTATAGACCTGAGTTAATTTGCTACACCAGAAACCAGTTTAACTATTAGTCAGCATCAGTAAAATATATTGGGATACCTGAGGTATATCACCTTTAATAAAACAGTGAGCATATTGTAGAACAAAAACCTCGAATTGTAAGAATCTCACATTGAAAGCTGTGTCTCAAGGGAGGGGATATAGCAGTGTCCAAAATTACACTATGAAAAGAGAGATAGACTATTTCTGCATTTATTCATTATTATCATACAGTTCAGGTTGGAAGGGACCTCAAGGGGCCCAAAAGTACTGTCTGCCTTGACCCCCAGGGCCATTTCTGCAGAGCTGGTCAGTCCCCAGCCTGTGTCATTGCAGAGGGTTCTCCCTTCTCAGGGCCTGGACTTTGCACTTATCCATGCTGTATTTCATAAGATCCCTGTTGGCCCATTCTGCCAACCTATCTAGGTCCCCCTCAATGGTCATCCTGCCAGTGTGTTGGCTGTTACCCCAAAATTGGAGTCACCTGAAAACTTGACATGAGTATACTCCATGTCCTTCTCCAGGTCGTTGATAAAAATGTTTAACAGGACAGGTCCCAGGATAAACTCCTGTGGTACCCCACTTATTACTGGCTTCCAGGTAGAGTACGACCATAAACTGCTATGCTCTGAATGTGATCATCCAGGCATTTTTTTTACCCATCAAGTTGTCCACCAAGACCAAAACCCTATGCACACATGAGGTGGAACATGAGTGTTTCTATCCATATAAATAAAATGGAAAATAATAATTTTGTTTGGAGGAAATATATATATTCCATTAATTCAGTTTGCAATCAAATAAGTTATCTACTGCTTGTTAAAGAGAGAATCCCCATAGTTCGAAGATCATGCTGCATGGTTAACAGCGACAAAGCAAAATGCAGATTCAAAGACAGTGTATCCTGACACATTGCACAGACTTTTTTGTGTGTGTGTGTGGTATGTGTATGTTCTAAATGTTCATATGCTAGGCTATTGGGTTAAAAAGGAAAATAAACCTTTAAAAGGTAAGGTATGAGACATGTCTGAATTAAAACTCTGACTGACACTTGAAGGATTTATATTTTTGACTTTTGGTCATTCTAAGATTGCATCTGCTCTTTTATGATAGCATAGCATTTTGGGTTTCATTTTCTTTGTTTTCTTTTATTTGTGGAATTTTTATTAACTAAATAAATACTGTCAGATCCCCAAAATGCTAGGTAACTGGTACAGTAAAACATTATTATAGTGGTTTTATGAGTGAGGCATTTAATGCTAAAGCATGGAGAAGCTGAGTCGCTTGTCCAGTGTAAAATAGCACATAAGTGCCAGAAGACTGATTAAAATAGGGGAATGACTGGTTTACAATTCTATATTCATTATACGTAGCATATTCATTATCTTTTATTTATTAAATAAGACAAATTTTCACCACAACATTTCAAACTGCAATATTCTGAGTTTTTATGTTTCTTTATTTTTCTAATGCTGGATTTGATCCTGTAAGGTACTGAATCTCTAGAGGAACCTGGAATGAATTCAAATTCTGTTGACTGCCAAAACAGCTGGAACAAACTTTAAGTTTGCAACTAGCTCCGGGGAAATGGCATAAAGAGGAGCAATTTCCTACAAACTTCATCTGTGTTTCTACCATCCATAGACAGAACAACAGATGATAAACTATTGTGCCTTTATGAAACAAAAGAGATCATCAAAATTACTCCCAAATAATTGTGTAAGTTTATAAATAAAGATCTGCTTGTACCAGATACTCTGCTAATATACTATTTATGTTTCCATGAAAACAATTATTTTCCTCCTGCCAAAGAGCATTTTTTCTTAACTAAAAATTAGTGTGTGCTAATCAGCAAAGCTGATTAACTGTGTAGGTGTTTTCTCCTGATATTTGTCTGAAAAGACTAAGTTTAGATTAAGCCACTACAGATTTCTTTCATCAGAAAATTAGTCTGTAGATGCTTAATTCTGATCTGGCAGACCTAGTTCTCTCCTACAACAACCAAATGTCCTTCTGCATCATTACTGTTGTGAAAATGTAATGCAGGAGAATTAATCATTACTAAAGGTTTTGAAAAGGCCAAGGGTTGCATGTGCAAAACATTGTGCTTTACCATCAAAACAGCTGCTGCTTTGGCAGGAAAAGTTTTGAAAACAGAGGGGAAGTTAGCAGGACTTTACACCCAGATACCAGTCAGAATGGAAGGGAGAACTCATGTGCTCCGTAGTCAGAAAGGAGAAAAAGTCAGGGTAAAGCAGCTGTTTATCTGAATACTGGAACGATTCAGTAGCTAGTGGTAGGTGTTCGGCAAAGATGTAGCAAAAAAGACAAAAAGCATAGCATTAATGGCACTGAATGCTACACTGCTGTAATGATTACTCATGTAAAAACTCTTCTTTCCAGTGAACCATCTTTGTTTTTGAAGTGCCTAATATGTTACTTAGCAATGAACTTGAAAAGCACATAGATTTCAGACTCTATGAATCTGTGAAGCACGGGTTGATGGCTTCATATTCCAAAGGACAAAGCATAGCCACCAAAAGGAAGAATAATAATAATAGTCATAAAATCTTAAATCACTTACTTGTACTCGTGTGACATGTAGGTACATAATACAAGCCACTAGGAAGCATATGCAGAACACCAGGAGAACAAGAACTATGGTACTCCTAGAATAAAAACACAATAGAAGTAAAGCAATGCAACTCAGTAGCAGATGAGAACAGCACAGGGGTCCTTCTGAAATGGTATTTTGGATGGTGGAGGATCTCCCCCTCACCCTTGCTGTAATACGAACTGTTGCAGAGGAAATTTCACAGTGAAATGCACTGCTCTCAAGAATGAGAAATCAGTAAATGGTCTTGTATATGGTGCCCACTCTGACCTCATCAAGGAGATCAAAGCACCTCAAAAATTCAACTGTATGGTGTGTCAGGAGAGACATTTTCTAATTGTAGGCTAATGCAGAATATTCAGCATGATGACTCTTACAAGTGGAGTGTGTAACCCAATTACGTGGCCTTGGCAGCTGTGTAACAGTTACCAGATGCTTCTCCCTTCTAATCTCTCCTTCTCAAAGATTCAGAAATCAGAGGTCGGTCAACTCAGTCACTTATCAAGTCAAATAAAATCAGGCCAGACTGCAATCCCTTCTTCTAACGAAACAGAGCAACTCCCTCCTTTTGAGTCTTCCTCAATGGTTAGAAAAATCTTAGGTTTCACAAAGATGCTGTAATAATTCTTTTAATTCTTAATCTTCCCTCTCCTGATCTTTCAAAATAGGCTTGTTCTTCATGAGAAGAGGGGTGCAGACCAAGCACTTCCCTCCTCCAGAAAACCTGTGTTATTGGAACAGTACCTTATGCATGTGAGGAAGCTAGCAAAAATTAGTCCACCAATGCTGGTGCTTTGATTTATGCTCAGGGACAGCCTGGCCCCAAGCCAGCCATGGAACCAGGGCCATATGACAGCAGCATAACATGACCTTCACACCTTCTTTTCTAGTCTTGTGAGAACAACCCAGCCAGTCTAGAATATGCGAGCCATGGCTGCAGGCATATATGTATCTGTGCCCTTGACCGTCACTGGGGAAAGATTGCTTATGTAGGGTTTCTAACAGTAGAAGAGTGCAATTCTTCTGCTGTAGAATTTCTCAGTGTTTGGCTTTGATTTCAAATTCATGTAACAATTCCCACCAATACACAAACAGGGAAAATTCTGTGGTGTAGTATGTGTATCCAGAATGGGGAGGTGACTCTAGATGCTGTCAGTGTGGATTCTGAATACAAGTATCAATAGACAGCAGGCTCTCCTGTGCTTTTAGAGAATTGGCTTGTATTCAGGATGGTAGTATATGAGGAAAAAAATGCAGGGGACATGATTGCAACTGCATCTTTTTAGGCAGCAACAGCCAACAACTGACACTAGTACTGAGTGGGACCCTGACAGAGATTTGGGTTGGCACCAGTAACAAAGGGATACATTGTTTTTTAAAAATAAACCCAGCATAAGACATCAGAAAGGTTCATCATGAGGGCTTTTAGTGGCTACACTGCATAATTGGACAGCTTAGGTTGACAGGAACATAGCCTTACTTTTACCAACTCCATCTGGGGATATAAAATATGCCTTTAGCTGAGAAGCTGTTCTGCTCAGATGATCATAGGAATTGTGAGAATGTCAAGCCCATTGCTTTCTGTGTATTTATGCAGCAACAGGCTTTCTTACAACATTTTCTTGCCTCTAGATTTTGAACCTCCTCCTTGGAATATTGTGATACATGTCAAACACCATTATTATCACTTCTCCCATTATAGTAACACGTTACACTTCTTGTCTTGGCTTTTGCATTCTCTTGTCATACTTATAACTACTTTGGCAATCTAAAGAGCACTTTAAAGCTCCAAGTTCTGTGGAGAGGGGAAATTTTCCAATATTTCCAAAGTTCTAGTCTAGCTCATGGTTGCATCTGTGTCACAACGAGAGAAGAGCCTGAGAAGACTAGTAATTTGTTTGTATGAAGACATCACCAACAGACACTGGAAGAGAGAACTTAAGACCATTCAGTGGGTGGCTTTTCTAACTTCAGCGGGTGGCTTTTCTAACTAACCCAGTGATGAACCAGTCCATCTTCATGGCCTTCGGTGGTCATGTTCTGCTGGAGCTTGTGTGTCTGTCAGATCAGAGCTTAAACTGAATCTCTGTCCAGCTGTTTTTTAAGTGACAGTACTTTTTGGAAAGGTTACCAACTACCATACCATATGATTCTTGGAAATTCATTCTAGTTTCAACTATGCTACTACTCTTTGTCTCTCCTTGTTCTAAATTGCCATGTACTGCAGCTGGGCTTTACTTCAAAAGCAGGTGAACGAGTTCTTAACTATGTTCCAGTTAGTCAGTAGAGGTGATTAGTCTGGAAATTAGAGATTTTTGAATTCTTCAGATGAAAGGTATTATATGGGGTGACTCTCATGATTGGAGTGCTGCAATGGATGGCTATAGACTCTTCAGAAGGGACAGGAGAGGAAGGAGAGGCGGCAGGGTGGCTCTGTATGTTAGGGAGTGTTTCGATTGTATAGAGCTTAACGATTGTGATGATGATACGGTTGAGTGTTTATGGGTAAGGATGAGGGGGAAGGCCGACGAGGCAGATATCCTGCTGGGAGTCTGTTATAGACCACCCAACCAGGATGAAGAGGCCGATGAATCGTTCTACAAGCGGCTGGCAGAGGTGTCTCGATCGTTAGCCCTTGTTCTCGTGGGGGACTTCAACTTCCCGGACATCTGCTGGAAATATAACACAGCAGAGAGGAAGCAGTCTAGGAGGTTCCTGGAGTGTGTGGAAGACAACTTCCTGACACAGCTGGT